TGGTATGGGTTTAGGTCCACGAATACCTTGCTTACCCCATAACAAGCCCCACACACTCTTTTACTATTATGCAATTTATAATAAAGCACACTGATGCATTTATTTAATTAAACCCGTCCAAACCAAATGACTAGGCATATGATGGGTAACGTCCCGGTGCTGACAATCGCCGACCCGGATGTGATCAAAACAGTACTGGTGAAGGACTTCCACCTGTTTGTGGACCGACACGTCATGTTCACCAAAAGTCACGCTTTCCGAGCCCTAAACCTGGACCGCCTGACGGGCGACCACTGGAAACGTGTCCGCTCTATAGTGTCGCCCGTATTCTCGTCGAGAAGTATGCGTAAAATGTATGGACAGGTGCGCCACTGTCTGTCCGACTTTACCACCCAATACTTGCAAAGTGTGGCCAATAGTGGCGTAGATATGGATTTACGATATGCCTTTAGCCGGTACACTTTGGACGTGATATCCCGCACAGCATTTGCCACCAAAATCGATATCTATAACAAGGAAATGGATGCAAACAACCCGTTTGTGGCCAATACTCAACAGTTTTTCCGATTCAATGCCGTGAAAGAGGCGGCGACTATATTGTTGCCGGCGTTTGTGCGCCGGTGGCTACGGGTTGAGAGATCTAAACCGGATAAGTTTTTCGAGGATATCGTGAGGGGTATACTCGCGAAAAGGGCTCAACAAACTGGGGATCAAAAGTATCAGGATTTTGTTCAACTGCTTATGGATGCGAGAGTGAGGGACAGGGATGACGATGAGTTAGGGGCTGGCAATGAAGGTATAAACATTTTTTTTAACATAAAACAAATTAGTTGCTAATACAATATTTAACATAATAAGTATATAATTACTTGTTATATATAAAATTATTAGTTATGATAATTAGCAAGGTCGATTTCGAAATAAGACTCAAATGAGCAATAGTTGATTCCCATTGAATAACATACAAATGGGTTAAGTTGTGATCAATGGGTCTTATTTTGATTTCAAACTAAATGGTGATTTATAAATTAACTGGATACAATTAATTGCAATTTTTGGTGTTGTGATCATTAATCATTCATTAAAACAATTAAACACAAATATAGTCTTAATAATCATAATTAAGTGATTAATCTATGATTTTTTGTTAGCAGTATTTGTGATCAAAATGATGACAACAAACAATTGACTAATTTTGACCACAATTGTGCCATAAATAGTGACAATAATGTACTACTATTGAGATGAGATAACATAAGCGACAATTTGTGACACTAATTGCCAATTAATTGTATTTAATTTTAAAGTTATTTAACTTTTAAGTCTTAAAAAAGTGTCTTATTTCGGTATCGACCTTAAATAAATTCATAAAGGTTACTAGAATATAATTTTAAATATGGATAATGCCAAATTAATGTTCTACCTACTATTTATTCATACTGTGTGCACGTATTTCATGAATTGTCTCTTATTAAGTAAATTCAATGAATAATAGATTTTTCAAAATAAATCTTAAAAGGAGTGGAAGAGCTGGCAGTGACTAAGAAAGTATTGGACATAAAGGTAACCGACAAACGGCTTTCCCCTGACGAGGTCGTAGCCCAGGCCTTCTCGTTCATTGTGAGCGGTTTTTTCACGAGCGCCGACATCCTGGCCTACTGTGGCTATGAATTGGCACTTTGGACATAAAGGTAACCGACAAACGGCTTTCCCCTGACGAGGTCGTAGCCCAGGCCTTCTCGTTCATTGTGAGCGGTTTTTTCACGAGCGCCGACATCCTGGCCTACTGTGGCTATGAATTGGCACTCAATGCACACATTGAACGCAAATTATACGACGAGATTACCGGTGCGGCCGTCGACGGGGACATCCCTTACGACCAGTTGTCACAACTGCCATATTTAGACGCATTTCTATCAGAGATTATGCGACACCACGCCTCACCCCTACCCTTAAGTCGATACCCCGTTACAGACTGTAAGTTATCAGGCACAGATATCGTGGTAAGGGCTGGCACTCAGATTGAAATACCCCTGTATGCAATACACCATTCCGATGAGTTTTATGAAAGTCCCTGGAAGTTTGATCCTGATAGGTTTATGCCCGAGAATAAACATAAAATAAGACCATACACCTTTTTGCCATTTGGTGCCGGCCCTCGCAATTGCATCGGTATGCGGTTCGGGATACTGGAGGTGAAG